TCCTTTAATCATGACTCCCTCTCTTTTTGGATGGATGCCTTTTATTTGAAAGTATGGGCTATCTTATTTCTTTTTTTTTTGTTCTCTCTCTTTCTATTTCTTCATGCTCTTTGGCATGCATTTTTTCTCTCATGTTTTTTTTTGGCATGGCTATTTTCTTCTTTTTTATTTTTTATTTATTTTTTTAGCATAGCCCATACTTACTTTTGGCATATGAAAACCCTTTTTTAGGCAGAGATTCATGAAAATATGAATGGAGTATTTATTCGATGGACGAAAAAAAACATATTTTTGCGCAACTCTCAATGTAAGAGTCAGCATTTTATTTGTGGGTGTACGTGAATCTTGATCATGCCTGGGTGCATGACGAGAATCTCAACAAGGGTCACAAATAATTTGACAAAGCTCAACATGATAACAAGCAGCATATTATATGCTAAGGTTTTGTATTTGCAGAACATGTCATATGGCTTTGGTAGGAAGTATAAATCTCAACAAGATAACAAGCAGCATATTATATGCTAAGGTTTTGTATTTGCAGAACATGTCATATGGCTTTGGTAGGAAGTATAAATCACCGAGGAACTTTTAATTTTAGCATTTTGAAAAAATAAAACTTCGGATGTCAAGCCTTTCTTAGAACAAATTTCCGTTGCACCGTATCATATACCGCTGCTTGCAGGATGTGGAGAGCAGCGTCTGCTAGAGGTAACCGCAAGGGGGACCGGGAGAGCTGCGGCCGCGGCTTGCTCCTTGCTCCATTTTGGCTTGGCTCGCTGCTGTTGACGTACTTTGTCACTGCTCACCTGCCTTCTTGTGTTGTTCGGTTGGCTGATGGGTCTGCAGGATGTGGAGAGGGGCGTCTGTTTGCAGTCAAGGCTGGATTCGGGGGATCGCAAGAATTTGGAGGAACGCTTGCACGCGATGTATGTGGAGGAGAGGGGGTCTGTTAGCCACTGTTAGGAACACAGATAGATTATCCTATATCCATATAAATTGTGAAAATAAAATTTGATTTCCTCAAGAGACGACCGAAATTAAAATGAACTTGTGGTTAAGAAGATGGGCTACAATCCATGGCTGCCGTAGGGATAAGGGTTATACATGGCTGCCGTAGGGATAAGGGTGTTTGGGGTGTTTGGTTCTTTAGTCGCTCCTAAAATTTATGTCACATCGAATGTTTAAATACTAATAAGGAGCATTAAATATAGATTAATTACAAAATCAATTACATAGATGGAGGGTAATTTGCGAGACAATTTTTTAAACCTAATTAATCTATCATTAGCACATGTTTACTGTAGCACCACATTGTCAAATCATGGACTAATTAGGCTTAAAAGATTCGTCTCGCAAATTAGTCACAAGTTGTGCAATTAGTTTCGTAATTAGTCTATATTTAATACTCCATGTATATGTCCAAACATTTGATGTGACAGGAATTTTATGAGGCACTGCAGGAACCAAACATGCCCTTACTCTGCCAAGGGCACCATACAGGTGGCTGCACTGCATTCAGGCGCTGCCAAAACCCAGCGCGCACACGCGGTCAAGCCGACACAGATTTGGACAATACGATGTGTAGCAGGTGGTGGTGAAGATATGCGGATTTAAGAGGTCGATTTGGGTTGGGAGATGGGAGCAACTTATCGTCGCGGATCTCCACACAAAAAGAAGAATTAGAAATGTAAACTGTATATATATGCTTAAATGTACATGTTTACTTAATTATATATAGCTCGATGCATTAGTTATCATAATCAAAAATTAGGTAATGCTAGGTAACTGAGCATGGAAAAAGCATCGAACTTTGACCTTCCATTTAGTACCAAACAACATATCCTAACAACTTACATCTCCGGATCCTCAGCTTGCTATCAACATGTGTGCCATTAGATCAAGCAATTTTAGATCTGGATCAACCATGGCAAGATTGATAGAATTCCCAATTTTTCATATATGCAAATAGTAGCACTACAAATGTTCTCTTTCAATGACAGTAGTTGTCACGTATGAGTGTAAGTACGTGCATCAATCCTATCAGTGAGTTCTGGTGAATAGATGATAATGCATATAAAGAGGTAACGATGTTTTATGATATTTTCAGTTATACAATCATGTGAAAAGTGCAAAAAGAAACATGGGACCCTCAATTCTTACTCTAAAGAAAGATGTGGCATTGCGTTTCAAAGAAACATGGAAGTTAAATGCAGTACGAGCCACCAACTAAATGGCTTATGTGGATCTTTGGGTAGGTATAAAAGAAGGTATACTTGCATCATATAATATTACTAAGTCAAAAACTAGACCTCAAGGAGATGCAAATCATACACTTTGATTAAGACATGCAAGTGTGTAAAATTTTTATAATCTTCCTAATGCTACAAAATATTTTATTGTACTCCTTTAATCATGACTCTCTCTCTCTTTTTGGATGGATGCCTTTTATTTGAAAGTATGGGCTATCTTATTTCTTTTTTTCTTTTCTCTCTCTTTTTATTTCTCCATGCTCTTTGGCATGTATTTTTTCTCTCATGCTTTTTTTAGCATGGCTATTTTCTTCTTTTTTACTTATTTTTTTTTAACATAGCCCATACTTACTTTTGGCATATGAAAACCTTTTTTTAGAGAGAGATTCATGAAAATATGAATGGAGTATTTATTCGATGGACAAAAAAACATATTTTTGCGCAACTCTTAGGGTAAGAGTCCACATTTTATTTGTGGGTGTACATAAATCTTGATCATGGGTGCATGACGAGAATCTCAACAAGGGTCACAAACAATTTGACAAAGCTCAACATGATAACAAGCAGCATATGACTAAGGTTTTGTATTTGCAGAACATGTCATATGGCTTTGGTAGGAAGTATAAATCACCGAGGAACTTTTAATTTTAGCATTTTGAAAAAATAAAACTTCGGATGTCAAGTCTTTCTTAGAACAAACTTATAGAAAATTTTCGTTGCCGCAACAACTTAGACTGATTAAGCATTCGCAACCCACAAGTTTCTAGGATGGGACATTTTTAACCCATAAACTCAAATTTTGAGGAGAGCTAAGTTATAAATTAGGCACAGTAAAAATATAAGATAGATCAACTATTCATCATTTCAACAAGGATGGACTAAACATTTTTACTACACATATATGGAGTGGAATATATATATATATATATATATATGATTATTATTAAGCAAAATAATGAAATTAATGTAAGATAGAAATGCGGAATACAAGTTACCTCTATGGGGGTTCTCCCCCAAGCTAGCCCAAGGGCTACAGTCCTTCAGCTGCTTTTATTAAAAAGAGGCAAACTTTGCGGGCAAATTTTATTTTAATATTTTATATATATTTTTATTTTATTTTATTTGTTCACCCAACTTTTTATTTTTTTAGCAAAACTCAAGCAAGCCTTAAAGGTAAAACTGCAGTAAACTTCTAGCCTTGATTCATCTCCTTTGTAGATTGCCTCCATGGTTTATGAAAATAATTACTCATAGTTCATTAACCAAAATTAAACACCATGTCGAATTTTGATTAAATAATGCCATTTTAACCTAAACACCATGCTTAATTTAAAAAGCCTATGTATGTACCACATGTGCCCATGTGAATACACCCAAACCAGAGTATATGACATAAACAAGGTAAGCATGAATTTATATTTTCATGGACATAAAAAATGAGATAATGGAGTTGGTGAACAATTAATTCCTCTCTCTCTCTCTCTCTCTCTCTCTCTTAGCTCTCTTTTTCTTTCTTTCTTTTTTTCATATAAGCAAGGCAACGGAAAATGGTGAGAGTGGAAGATACACATTACCTTATGGGAGTTATCCCCCAAGCTAGCTCAAAGCCTATTATTCGGGGTTGTACCCCTATGCTTTTTGGCTTTTCCTGCATGCTTATGATATGGTAGATCACTAGTGGACTTACCATCCCTCGTGATTACCATATTGACATTTTCAAATAAAATCTCGGATTGCCCCGAGATATTTTCAAAATGATATGTAGGAATTATAGCGGCTAGTTGAGCTAGTTGGATTTCAAACATTTTATTAAGGCTTAATTGATTTGTGAAACAAGAGGTTAAGCCTTCTAAATTTGCATTAATGTTTTCCAAAATTTTATTATTAGAGGCAATATTTTTAATTAGGTATTTATTTATTTGAGCTTGCCCTAACACAAGATCTATCCAGGAAGGTTGATTCGAAATGTAATTGGAATTGAAGTTCGAATTACCTTCTTTAAATGGTGGACGTGATTGATTGTTCCACCCGTTATTACCTCCTTGTGGACGGAACCCGTTGTTGATGTAGGTGTCATCCTCACGGGTTTCAGGGCAATCGTTCTCCAAATGTCCACTTTCACCACAAACCTCGCATGTCATATGCAAGTCCATGGCCTTGACAGTACCGTATATTGCCTCCTTCTCATTGACACGCTCATCAAGCCTTTTTATTAGGAGGTCTATTTTTGCATCAAGCATATACGTCTCCTTCACGGTATGCATACCTTTTTGTTGTTCATCTTGGAGCCTCTCATCACCCCACCATTGATTGGACACCATTTTCTCAATGAGAGCCGTAGCTCCATCGATGGTGAGTGAGAGGAAGGCTCCTCCAGCAGCGGCATCAATATGTCCTCTTGACATGGGGGTTAACCCATTGTAGAAGTTCTGCAGGACTAGCCAATTTTCCATCCCTTGGTGCGGGCAGGCAAGGATGTGTAAAAATAATTTGTAATTTTTTTTGAAAAATTTGGCATATATTTATCTGAGATCTGCAATTATCTCCAAATTACATCACTCTGTCAAATAAATTATATTGAACAAATTATTATAAATATAGTAATAAGGTGGTGTAAATATAGCTATAGTGTAAGTGCATGGAAGAAATCTGATTGTTTGGAGGAGCTAAAACAACTAGTTGTTGGCTAGACATATTCAAGTTTTATTCCGTAACCATGGCACAAAACTCAAGCCCTGGATGGCAGCTCCTTCACTGTCTAAACCCCATTTTGCTGGGAGGCCGGGAGTCGTCCGACGTTGCGTAGACCACCACCGGGCTCCTCACCTCATGCTCGTTGTTGTACCAGACAACGGCACCCGAGTGGACCCTGCCCTCCTCCATCGCCACGCCGGACACCCCCACGGTGAACAAGATCTTCTGGCCCTGCGCGCTGAACTCTAGTCTTCTCGGCGACACAACAACGGTGAGGTCATTGACCGCCTCAACAGGAAACACGACCTTCACATCATACACGGCGGCCGCGGCCCCGACGTTGGTGGCAGTGCGCGGGAAGACCACGGAGAACTTCATCCCCGGCTCCACACGGGCCGCCATAGTCGGGTAGTTGAGGTCGCTGGGTGTCCCGGACGTCGAGCCGTTGGGGCAGGCCGTGGTGTTGGAGCCAGTGACGAGCGCGAGCTGCGTAGCATTGTACCCCTGCGCACACAGCATGGCCACATAGTCACCCTCCAATGTGTCGTACACGAGGCCCGGGTCTTGCGCCTTTGCCGGGTTGAGCTGCCCGGCGCCGTACTTGAGCGCGGTCGTGTTGGAGTTGCACGGTGTGTTCATCGGAGTGGCTGCATGCATCATGAGGATCATATATACGCTATATATTCGATGCTGTTGCAAATTCTTTACACCATCGTACCGGTGGTGATGAGAGCCGACATGATCATCGCCGGCGACCAGTCACGGTGGAGTGACTTGACATAGGTGGCGGCTCCGCTTGCGTGTGGGCACGCCATGGATGTGCCGGAGATGATGTTGTACTGAACCTTCCTCGTGTCGTTAGGATAGCCCGAGGGTGATGACAGCAGTGACCATGAGGCAATGATGTCTACCCCCGGCGCAGATAGATCAGGCTGCACACATTTGAACGTTGTAGAGAGAATATTTAATTTTAAATGAGACATTTCCGTGAAATGATGGAAGATTGTTCGTGAATATCATCGATCAGGCACCTTCAAGATCGAAGGGGTGACCAAGGTGGGGCCTGGAGAAGAGAAGGAGGCGGCCACTGGAGCTTGTGGATTGCCCGTAGTCACGGTGCGGTCTATGGTACCCACAGGATTACTGCACAACAGACACGAACTGGGATATATAGTATAGTTCATCGATCTGGCAATCTAGCAATGGTCATTGAGCTCACCTAGTGCTGTTGACATACGCCATGATTTGGTCGAACTTGTCCTGAGTTACCTTGAGACCGGGGAGAGGCAGAGTGACAGCGACGTCGGGCTCGCGGGTGACTAACACGACACCAGCTGCACCGGCCAAGAAAGGGCCTGAGACGCCGTTCGAACGGCCCTTCTGGAGTGGGCAGAGGACGATCTTGCCTTTGTAAGGACCTCCGGCGAGGTTCTCTGGATCACATGACCTACATTATTGTAGCAAAAAAACCATAAACACTATATATATAATATAGAGAGTCATGCACTCACACACACTTGTATGTATGTATGTATGTATGACATTGTCATCGTCTTACCCGTCGGCAGGGAATGCAAGTGTAGCATTTGCTATCGTTGGAAAGGTGTTAACGGAGGCTCCCTGCAACAGAAGAAAACAGTTGTAATGGTTGACCTTTTCATTCAGACTCTGATTTCTGTGAAAAAAAATATAAGGACATAGTATAAAAAGTTAGGGTTCAGCGCTGACCACTATGGTATCGCCGTTCCCAAGAACAATCCTGTCGATGAATTGACGGTCGATGCTGCTCGCCGCCACAGACAGCATCCATGGCGCGACGTTGCCAACTCGGCCGCCAACGAGCCCCGAGTTCCCGGCCGATGCGGCCTCATGGCGTGGAAGGCGCCGATGGCTATCACGTCCCTGAAGTAGTCAAATGGGGAGGAACTCCCGAAGGAGATGGAGATCACGTCCACACCGTCAGCGATGGCATCGTCGAACCCCGCAAGGATGTCGGCCTCGCTGCAGCACACCTTGTAGTGTGGCTGCCACCGCACGCCCGGCCGCGGTGGACGCCGTGTGGCTGCCGTGGCCGTCATCATCGTCCAGTGGCGACAGGCCAGAGCTGCTGGATCCTCCGTGGTAGGCACGTGCTCCGATGATTTTACTGCATGTCAAGCCATAATTGACCAGTGAGTCTGTGTCATGGTTTGGGCCTTTGGACGACATAAAAGTTGAGGCCCTGTACTACTTTGTTAGGCGGTTTTCCTTTGCTTTAATTGAACCGTTCTATTGATAAATTTTTGCCTCCTAACTAACAAATAAGGGATATCTCAAACAACATATTTGAGCTAGCTAGACACTAAAAAGAAAGGGAAGCTAAAATTTAGGTGTATGAATTTTACCTTCGGATGGCTATTGTATATATTTTATACTAAATTGTAACTTCAGTTCGTTGCAAATTTACGTAGGCCTAATCTGTATTTTTTTTTGTTCTAAGAATAAAAAATCCATTAGGCAAGACTGTGAAGCTGCAAAAATCTGATCTGTATGGACACAACGAGAATTAACAATTTACAATTGTTTCTGTAGTCAGATAAGGACAAAAAAATTAATATGCTATAATACAAAGTTAAATAACAAATCACAAAAGTAATAATTTACTTCTACTAGTTGGTTATACAAGAATGTTGTCTAAAATCATCTTAAAATTCAGGCACTTGAGATATAGAAGAAGTGAAAGAAGAAAAGGTCTTTTCATACTTGTTGCATGTGAAGTTGTGGCATGTACCCTTCCACCTGCTCGGTGGTGGGCCAAAGCCTTCATCGGAGAAGGATGGCGAGCCAGGCCATATACCAGTGTCGAGCATACCGATGATAACGTCTCCCTCTAGTGGTAGCTCTTCAATGGGCGTTTGAGGGAAGCCCAAGAAATCCAAGGATCTTGTGGTCAAAAGATCGAGGGTCCTACTTAGGAAGACTGAGACAACGCCATTCATGCCTAAAGGTAACAAGGAAAAAAGTATAAAAGAGATGCTTGCTTTACAATTCGTTGATATATTAATTAAAAGTTTTTTTGCGAGGCATATCAATTAAAAAGTTGATATATATGTTTGGGTTCATCCAGCTATCCCTGATGTCTCTACGTCCTTGTGACATAGGTCACAAATAAACCTCAATCCACAATCACAAAAGAAAATGACTGAAAAGAAGAGCATGTTAATTGCCACAAACCAGACAGTTTATGTGCCTCTTCTTTGTTAAGCTTGGCGGCAAAGCCATTTAAGCTTCTCTTGTAGCTACGGAGAATCCTGTCTGAAGCAGAGCTGCAAAAGACAAAAATACATTGGCTCTTGTATAAAGATAATCTTTTTCTATGTTTTCTTTCGTTTTCGAAGCCAACATTGGCTCTTCGAATCCGTTGGGACACTCGTATCCGTTTCTTTGACAACTAATAGCCTGACCAAATAAAAACAGAGGCCTGGATTGCTACTCTTCTGTGGTAAAAAAAGAGAGTTCTCTACCTGCCGTCGTCGAGGACCTGATTCAACAGGTCGTGATGAGCAAATTCTACAGCAGAGAAACCTTCAGGTTCTGACGCATCCGTGCTGGGCGGTAGATGCCCCAGGTACACGATGTAGACCTGCTTATCACGACCAAGCAGATGCGATAAAATTACTTTGAGAAAAGAACACAAGACACAACCAACATGCTACAAGCACGCATGGTATAGCTACTGGCAGCAACAAAATCTGCATGCATGCTGATGGATAGATGATCCGTCAGACCTGCTGGCTTCCATCGCCGATGGATTCAGAGGCGCTCAAGCTCGCGGCGAAGACAGTGACGGCGAGGAGCAGAAGCAGCAGTGTTCCGGCACGTGGCATCGTAGTATCCTACGTGTGTTGGAAGCTTTTTTTTTTGAAGGGAATCGTATTGGAAGCTTGGTGCAGCGCGGCAGCGCATATATATGCGTGTGCATCAGCGACGAGAGGATGAGGGCAGGCGGGCAGCCGTGCATCAGCTTGCAGCGCGCATTGCTTGCTCCGTAGCCTTGTGCAGGAAACAACGCAGGGGCTAAGCGTCCAGCTGAGCGCCCTGTCCGGAAGCAAGCCGTACTTTCCACGAAATATCTCGGGCTCCTGGTGCCGTAATGATATTCAGCGTGTGTGCTGAGGCGTAATGATATCTCGGGAAAAGGGAGGCACTACAACTCTTCCTTGAAAATGGAATTGACCTGACAACTGTGGACCTAAACCTCCATGGTCTGGAGGACGCGGCGCTCTGAGCGCTGCCATCACACACGGATGTCGCCCAATTGGTTATCCAATGTCGACGACCTTCAGTTGCTTCGTCTGGAACGTCCGCGGTCTCAATGATCGCGCACGTCGTAATGTGGTTCGCGAATTGCTGCTGCTGCACAAGCCGTCGTGTGTGTATCCAGGAGACCAAACTCTCCAGCTTATGTAATTTGCTTGCGAATGAAATTCTAGGACCTGTTGGTTTGCAAGAATTTGGCTGCAGGTGCCTTCAGCTGATGATGGAGAGGCAGCTCTGGAATGGTGGTTGCGGTCTAGAAAGACAGTTCAAAAATCGCTGCGACGTGGCTTTGATTCGCTTATTTTCCTGGTGGGCTGGATGTTGTGGAAAGAAAGGAACTCCCGCACCTTTAATGCTGTTGCATCCACGCCTGGGCTGCTGGTTCTCGCGATGCAGGAGGAGGCCGAGCGCTGGTGCTCGGCAGGGAACAGATGCCTGGGGCTGATCTTGGCGAGGTTGTAGTTCGTTTTGCCCTTTGTCGCAAAATTTGCTAAAATGTAATCTTTGGTTGTGAATCCAGTAGTGCTAGGTTTTGGTAACCATGTCGTTACCATGGCTTGTTTTCAAAACTCTATCTGCTTAATGAAATAGGCGCTACGGCGTGTTCTAAAAAAAATTAGTTTTTTACCTCTGGAGACAAGGGCAAAAAGGCAGCTAGGGTTTATGTGATTTGGAATTATGATATGTAGCAGATACTTCTATATACTAGCTACTGCTGCCCGCGCTTCGCTGCGGGTGATGTGTTTGGTATAGAAAAAATCTTGGAAAATATGGCTCATATGTCTAATATGTTTTCTCATCGTGTTGCTACAAAAGGTTGGTCTATTTGGTACATTAAATGAAAAAATATGGGAAGGAAAGGTAACGTGGCTTTTTTCATTACAATGTTGTAAACGAACATAGAGGTTGGTTGTCATTACATGGTGTCTATTCTAGGCCAGCAAATCAATGACATGTTAGTGGAAAGAAGTATTTGATGGAGTTGGGCTCAAGCAACTAACACACTTAGATTCAAAGCACAACATTGGCTAGAATTACATTATAGGTGGAAAGCAAGTATGTCTCCTAACGCGAGGGTTTACAAAAGAGTGAATTAAGATCCACTCCCCTTAGGTGAAACTACAACACATTTCATAAATCTGGAATTACACGAAAGATTACACGACGTCGAACACTAAATTACACCGGGATTTAAAGTTACATGGTTAAGAGCAACCTAGTACAACCAAGGTTTACTCCAGAAGTCGGGATAGACGAGGGCAATAGAGAAACAATAAGATAATGAGTATCCAAAACATGGCGTCTGACCAACAGATCTAGAAACAGGAGACTGAGAAGTAAAACATCATGAACCATAAGACCAAACTAACCAACGGTAGGCTTGAACTTCTTCGAAAACCAGATCCCTTCTTCTCAGATTACACCATCACCTCTGTCAGACGAACCTAGTTTCACAATAACAACTGGATCTCGTAGCTCTGCTTCGGATTCAAGAGGGATGGGGATGAAGAAGAAGAGCAAGGACCAAGGGCATCTTATAGTGGCGAACGGAGATGGGGCGCAGCGCACCGGAAGTGGAGACGGCACGGATGGGATACACTGCCGGTTCACCCTGTGGGGATAAAGTCGGCCATGGCGCACTCCCTGCGCAACCGAGCAGAGGGGGGGAATAAAGGAGAGGAGAGAGGGTTTGCTCGATGAGGGAGGCGTGCGGGCGGCCGTGTCTCCAAAAGAAGAAAGAAGGGAGGGGGTCCGGTACGGGGACGAGGACGAGGATCAAGAGCGGACCGGAGGCCGGAAAAAGGAGAAGTGCACAGTGCACGAGGACGGCGAGGGCGGCGATGTCGCGGCCATGCGAGGACATGGTGCTAATGGGCCCGACACAGACGGCGTCCACGGGGCACGCGGTGATAGCCACCCGGCGTGCGTAGCGTGGTCGAGCTAGGCACAGTGCTTAGGACTTGACATCCACTCAGGCTTTTCTAAGCACTCCCTACTACCAAAGGCTAACTTTTCTCAGGTGTTCTTCTTTCCTTCCCTTCCTTGTCCACAATATGCGCCTCCTCTTATTTACTTTGAGAGAACGCTATTTTATCAACCCGTTGTGGATTTCCCGTTCAAACACCCGAATATTTGTATCAAAAGTGGTATGGCGGTGTAACTTGGTAAAGGTACTTGGTCAACAACCTCGATACCAGGGCGTGCCGAGCAGCGTCACCATGTGGTAGCTGTTCCACAGGGGCCCTCAGTTTCGTCGTGGCACCATAAGCTATTAACCAGGCAACTACTACCAACTTACACGCAATGAAGACGGTGGGGCCGTAGACCACAGAATCAGAGGAGAATTGCAAGGGAAGATTCAAACAACAAGGGTTTCTTTCGCAACAAAGGATAAGGACTTCAAATTCAACAATGGATCTGATTTAAAGAGATTCAAGTGTTCTACTGGAACATCTATAATTAGTCGATACAGTGTCCTATATTATCCAATCACGCTGGTCTATTGGCATCCGAATGATAATTTCTCTTGTAACCCACTTAGCATTGCCCTCGAAAACCCTAAGCACGTCTAACGAGACTTAAGGTAGATGGACGCAATAACACAGCGAAATAAATAAAATGCATATTCCGAACGTCCTTATGCTGGTACAACATACAGGCACTTACTCTCTCATTCTCGACACATCGTTCACCTTTCCTAAGATCGGACTACCTCAACAACTACGGACGAAATAAAATAGAAAGATTACAATACCGGTGGACAGCGATGAAAGACACTACTAACTACGGGTACATCATCCTAAGGCAATTAATCAACTCTGGACCACGCATCTTCATTCCCCAGCTCGGCGGATTCTTCTACCGTCCTGGCTATGGATCTGCCTCCTCTCTTGGCAATGGCTGAGTGAGAGAAATCAAGGGTTCTATTTCTAACACTTTCGAGGGTGGAGGTGCTGGCGGTACTACAATACCGGTTCTCCTTCTTTCTAGCGGATGGACAGGGATCCCCTCCACGATCAAGGGATCCTGCCGTTCAGCAGCCAGCGTCCTCCGCTTGGCTCTGGTGACAAGGTAGGCCTCTCCCAATTGATGGGCATGTCGATCTTCAACCTCTTTCAGAGCTTCCGACATGGCAGTCTCCCAACTCTCAGCGGTTGCCGCACTGGCAAGCGCTTCGGCAAGCTGCACCTAGAGGATTCTAGAGAAGATCACGGCTTCCTCGGCTCGCCGAAGGCACTTCCTCAGCTCCGAGGATTGCCGATCATACTACTCATCCAGAGCAAGCAGGTACATGGTCAAGTGCACCGCGGTAGGACTATCTTCATTCGCATCCCGCCCTTGCAAAGCCTCCATGCGAGCCCTCCATGCCCGTTGATTCTTTTTCAAAGGTGGAAAGAACCTCATGGGGGTACGGGCAATGAGCTCTTCATAGATCTGGCAAAGGTACCACAAGGCTTTGCGGGCCACAACCTGGTAGGTGTCGACGAAGCAAAACCCGATTGCGGTCACATTCTAGGCTTCAGTGATATCGGGGAACTCTTCACTCTTCCCAATGTGGACGGTAACTTCACACCGCTCAGTGCCATGCTTTTCATACTCACGGCCCTCATACTCGGGACGATCTTTGACTCCGAGCTTTTGTAGGGTGGCATACAGGATCTTGGGAAAACCCTCAGTGTTCAGGCAATAACTACTAACCCAGGCTCCTGCCATCGCTGGCGATGGTTGCAAGGAAGGACTGAGCCAAAAGCTGGCTCAAAAGGAAAAGCTAGGCGAGCTAAAGTGCACCGAGTGGTGGTACCAACGGCTAAGCCAGACCCTACTTATAATGGCAGAGCAGTCAGTGGTCCTGACGTGGTCCACCAAGGTTCCAGCACGAGATCACTATAAATGAATCGACCAAATTTTTCATGCGTTCGAGGCGAGCGATGTCCGAGGTCATTAATGACTAATACAGCTGCAAGACAATGTTCCAACAAGAGCGCAGAAAAGAATACGGGGAGACGCGGGTCACGACAGGCGTGAACCACAGGCGACGCGAAGCACAAAGCCACAGTTTAGCATTAACTCCAGAACAGGAACGAGTCAGTCGTGCACCATACGACATGCGTGACACCTATGGATGACGTATCTACAAGCAATACGTGCACTACAATGCACAAACAGGATCTATCAAAATACTATCGAACGACTTTTATTTACCGAAACAAAAGTTGTATTTTCATCTATTAAACTTGCGCACCAAATTTTATTCAAGTACTAAATACAAGTTATATTTTATTTTGTTTATAAAAATTGCTCCCGTGCCAATGTTTAGAACTACTTATTCTACTCTTCGCGTTAGGATTTTTTTCATTAACACATATAGGCATTTACGTAACTAACTAACTATATTAATAGGTCGATGTCTAAGGTCATAATCTCAGTGCACCGTGTTGGGCCTCTCTCTCTACTTCCATTTTGGGCCTACATATTTTGGGTTGGGTCGCTTCAAGCGAGGCACGTGTTCCTTCAGACGCCTAGGCTTGGGCCGTCGTGGACTGAGTTGGTGGAGTAGAAGCAGAGC